TCTTGAGATGAAATCATCTTGGTTTTAGGGTAGGGTATAAATCCAATGACAGGTAACCTTACAAGAGAAAGTATGAGGAATATTTGAGACACAGAAACACACAGAGGAGAAGACAATGTAAAGATGGAAGCAGAGCTTGGAATGATGTATCTACAAGCTAAGGAATGCCAAGGGCTGCCAGCAGTCATCAGAAGCTGAGGGAGAGACATGTGACAGATTCTCCCTCAGATCCTCCAGAAGGACTCAACACTGCCTTCACCTTGACTTTGGACTTCTGGCATCCCAAACTGTGGGACAGTAGATTTCTGTGGCAGGCTGCTTAGTTTGTGGTAACTTGTTATGGTAGTCTAGGAAATGGATACTGATGGTGTCATGGTGGCAAGATACTGCCAGCCTGATGTGACCCCAGAGGCAGGAGCAAAAAGAACAAAAAATCAAAACTCTAATCTCATTCTCTTAACCATCCTCCTGCTGGGGCTTGTCATTGGCCAAAGGTTGCCTGAAGCCAAGGGTAAGGAATAATGATGTGCTACAGACCAGGGCAGTCACGTGGGAAAGAGCAGGATGGAAGTGAAAGGTGGATTTGGAGGGGCAAACTTAAGATAAACAGTATGTCTTTTTTAGGTTATAGGTAAAGTAACCAAGAATCCCAATGTGTCTGTTGGAGTTTGGTTTTTACCTGTTGTCCCAGTACAAGTATTAATTTTGCCTTTTCTTTCTCAAGGGTTCAAGTTTGAATGATAAATTACATGGTCACATTAGTTATAGGCTAAAATCCAATTGGATTAGTATTCATATGGATAGAGAGTTTTCTGCACAGTATGTTAAATGAAGCAAGTGTCCACACCATCAGGATGTCATCTCTCCCGATTGCCCTGTGGTCCTGACTGCTCTTGGTAGGTGTAAGAAGAAGGATTAAGACCTTCTGAAGTTAACAAGAACATAACTGTCTCCAAAACCTGGATCAGATGCTCCATATTTTCTGAAGTTAGCTTTTTTCATCTTGGAGATCTTTTTTGTCAGGACATACAGATCTCCCCTGTTCTTTTTAAGTCCTGTACAGTACTCCCTAATTTATTGAACCATTTCCCTACTGGTGATAGTTTATTATTTAAAATTCCTCATGGAAAAAATACTTCAGTGACCATTCTTGTATATGCTCTTTGTATAGATGTGTGAGTATTTCTAGAATAGATACTCTGGCTAGTTTAAGAGAAGGAATTTGTTTAAATAGATAAGTTAGTTCACAGAATCATTAGGATGGCTGGAGAAAAAGACTTCAGGTTTAAGTGTGAAGGGCCAATGCTCAGAATTGCACTGTCGAAATGGGCTTAGGTCGCTGCTTTTGACACTGACCCCAGAACTACAGGGCAGACCAGTGTGTTGACAAACACACGTTGACACTAGTCTCCTACAGAATAGCAACCCTGTGCACAGCCAGTTTCCTTACATTGCTCACTTGTGAGGTGAAGTCTTAAGTGGGTGTGTCTAATTGGTCACATGCCTGTACCCTAGCTAGCTACAAAGGAGACCAGAAATTAAAAATAAAGATCTACCAGGAAGGCAAGCCTGATAAAGTGGAAATTGTTCAAATGTTGGGAAGCTCTTTTCATGAGTCTAAAGATGGTGTTAGACTCATATGACACATGTCTACTGCAGACAGCATAAAGTGGAGCTGTCTATTGAAGGATATGTACACTTTAAATTCTGGCACCCTCTGCCGAACTGACTTCAAAGAAACGTAGACCAATTCACATTGCCACCTGCAGTGTGTGATCATTCCCTACATCTTTTTTCCTACATGGTCTCCAGCAACGGATAGTATTATTTCTTTAAGACTTTTGACAATTTTTGACAACCTGATATTAAATAAAGATCCTACTTTTTAAAAATCTGCTTTTTCTCAAAATTGGTTAACCAATTTTTAAAACATTTTTTTAAAAATTTATTACCCATTTGTTCTTCTGAGACATGGTCATTTATATCTTCTGCCCGTTTTTTTTTTTTAATATTATGTTGCTTTTTTGTTTGCTAATGTTTGAACATCTCTGTATATTCTGAGCATCAGATTATTTTTCTCTGTTCCATTTGTTGAAAATATCCTTCACAGTATCTCTTTTATCTCTTTTGCTTATGTCTTTTAGTTATGGTAAATTTAAATAAAATGGGTAATCTTTTCATTTTTTTTCCCAGAAAAATGTTCATGTCTTTTAATATAAAATATCCTCCTTTAATCCATTCAAAACATTTTTCTAGGCTTACTTGCTCATGTTTATTTTCTTCAGTCTATCTATTATTGTGTGTGTGTGTGTGTGTGTGTGTGTGTTGTATGAGATAGAAACTAGGCTATTGTTATTTGTTTGTTTTGTTTTTCCAAGTGCAAAGCCAGTTATTCCTCACATTTTTTGAAGAGCCCATTCTTAACATGTATTTAATTTTTCCACTATGTATTTCTGTTTCTGGAGACTTTGTCACATTACACAATGTTGATTTAAGGCTCTATGATGATACTTGCTTTCTCCTACACCACAGTTTTAATGACTGAATTCTTATAGTGTATTATGAAAGCTGGTAAAGCAATTTATTCCTCATTTTTTTTCTTCTAGGAAAAAAAAGACCTAGGGTCTTCTCTATGTTTCTTTCCCAGATATATTTTAGAATAAGTTTACTGAATTCAATTAAAATAACATGGAGAATTTTTTGATTAGAAGTATATTTAATTTAAGTAGGTTTCTGGGGTGCCTTGGTGGCTCAGCCAGTTAAATGTCTGACTCTTGGTTTTGGCTCAGGTCGTGATCTCACAGTTTGCGGGATTGAACTGTGTCAGGCTCCACACTGATAGCAAGGAGTCTACTTGGGATTCTCTCTCCCTCTCTCTCTTCCCCTCCCCCGCTTGCGCGCGCGCTCTCTCTCTCTCTCTCTCTCAATAAATAAATAAATAAATAAATAAATAAATAAACTTAAATAAAAATCAATTAATACATAAATACATACATACATACATACATACATACATAAAAACATTTCTGTAAATGCAAGTATGTTGCCTGGAAGGTATGTTTTATGGTGTATTATGTTAGGAAAAATTCATTTATTATTAGATATTTCCTTAGCAGTTTAGAAATGGGGCACAAATAACTTGTTAAGACCAATGAGTTGTTTTCTGTATTTCTTCATCATTTACCATGATTATATTAAAATGGCAATACAAAAAATTGGGAACCCCAAAGAAAACTAATGGGAAAGCACTCAGGAACTAAGTGTAACAGGAGAAACAAGAAGGATTAGAAATACTCAAAGAAACATGTTTTTCCTGGCTCTGCTCTGGCCTGTATCTAGAAATATAAGCCCCAGCCACAAGTACAAGGGCCCATCAACCTCTTCATACCCCAAGGAGCCAAGGGGGTAGAGACAAACATATACTTTAGGAGGAGGGGTGTGGGTAATTGCACTGTTCTACTCATGCACAGTGGGTATCCTCACTGCCTACTTTCTGCCCATTTCTTGTCTGGATCAGTCAACCCCTCCTCTGCAGAGAAGTCACTGGAGCCCAGGCTACAGAAGCAGGCACTTGACTTTCAGACCTGCCAGCTTAGGTTTCTGTCCTGACTCTGGCCAGCCATGAGCCTTTGGGCAAATTAGCCCATCAGAGTCTTAGTTGTAGAAACTTCTGGAAAGCCAACAGGGGGTACCTTATGCAGATAAACTAAGCAATAACATACAGAGAAACTTTTTCAAATAGGTCAGTGGAGGTTTTATTTTACACAGCAGGAAGTGAGTGGACACACTGCTTAGATGATTTAGACTTTAGACTGTAGATGCCTCCCTGGGAGTTCACAGAGCAGTCAAACATTATATTTAGGAGACACAGGAAAAGGAGGCTCTGGAAGAAAATGAAACTTCCTTAAGTATCAACCACATAGAGGACAATGTTATATCCTGGAATATGCAAAGCAAATTAGGTAACTAGGATATGACAAATTCTCCATTCTTAAGGAGCCTACCTTTCAGTGAGGCAAAACTTCCTCATGAGAAATAGGACAGAGCTGAATGTATCAGCAGTGTGGGCAAAATCACAAAGCACAATTAGATGAGTTGCTGAAGAGTTACAGGTCAAAGGAACATAACAAGTGTTTCTGGAGAAGGAATTCTTGGTGGTAGCAGTGCAAGGAGATTTAATGCTGGGTAAAAAATAACTCTGTGTACTAAATATGTAACTGGCACTGGCATTTTCTAAATTGTACACCTTATTGTTTGGCAAAGGCACAAGAGTAGTACATAATAAATTAGGATCTAGTAGATTGCTGGTGGGACTGGTGGTAGTTAAACAAGTAGCTTATAAGCTTTTTTGCCTGGATTAGAAGTCAGGAATAAGACTTGTGGTGGCATTTAATGAAAATTTGGCTTATGGAAATTTGAAAAATTGTGATATGAAATTACTGATTTTCACTTTATGTGCAAAATTCGAAATTATATGAATCTACCAAATTCAAAAATATATATGATATTCTTACCACTTCAACGAGGTGGGATAAGTGAATTGTACCACATCTGTTTCCACATGGTGTTGTCACTTAAGCTGGAAAACAGAAACACCCAATATTGCAGTTTTGATTTATGAGAAGTTTTTATTCCTTGAGTAAACTCCTATAGAAGTAGCTGGTGGCTGCATGACTGCTAGACTCTGCTCTCCTCTCTTTGAAGGCCTCTCTTCTATTGCATCCTCTGCCCCTCATGGCTTTTACACTTTCCTACTCCCCTGGTGCTCTCTCTACCACCCCACCAATCCCATCAGCATCTCTTTCTCAGGTTCCTCTCGCCTCATCTCCTCAGCAACTAGAAGATCAAGGGCAGGAGATGTACCAGCAGATGGAGACCAACTGCTCTCCTTCATGGCCATTACCTTCACTGGGGACCGAAAAGGGTACATTGCATGTGTCTGAGAGAACACACAAGGGAAAAGATGAGTGGACAATGTGCCAGGCATTCTAGGCCCTGTCTCAGGGAGAGCTCTTTGAAAGGAGAGGAGCCTGGTCATCTTTCTCTGACTGTTCCACTTCCCGCAGCAATTTGTAGAGGGGTCCTATAGTGCCCTTGTGATGTGGAGCTTCCTTGGATTCCATCAGCTTCAAGCTGGGACGGTAACAATGATGCCAAAAGGAAGAGATTCCATAGATTCCCAGCAGACACAAAGCATTGATCATCACATGCCAACAGAAGAAGGTGGTGATGAACATGATGTCACTGATGTCATCATCCTGCCATGGGTAGCCAGTGACTGGTCTGTACAGAATAAAGCCCCCCTGTATCAGCCAGGAGCCCATCGTCAGAAACAGAAAAGTCTCAATCAGCAAGAGGTGAAATGTGTCAGGAGTCCACAGCTCTATGGTCAACACCAGCATCAACAGGAACACCACCACGATGAGCAGATAATGAATCTGAAGCTCTATCCCGTTTGAGTCCTGGACGTGTGACATCAACAGCAGCAGGAGCACATAGAAGGTCAGGACCAGGGTACCTTTCTCTAGGACCACACACCTCTGAGGTAGCAAGTTCTTGCTCATGACATCTACATAGCCATTGAGGGTGAAGAGGATGAACATAGTGAGGTGCTGCCACTCTTTGGGGTACAGAAATCTTGGTGGGTACTTTTTGTTCATCAACACCATCCCATCATCAAGACAGAAGACTACATAAATTGTTAAGATGGAACCAGTCACTATCTTCAGCAAACCTCCGTAGGATATTATCCACAGCCTGGCCCATATTCCCTTATGCCTGGGAGGGCATGAAGGACAGAGGAGAGAGTCATTGACTATCATGGCCTTAAAGACCACTGTGGCCTGATACAGTCCATAGGAGAAAAGATACAGCCCTGGGTATATATGCCCTATGAATTTTCCCATGAAATTATAGTTCTGTCTTCCTAAGGAGTGAGGACAAAACTCAGGACCTCACTGCTCTCCTCTCTATTGAGGGCCCTTCAAGTTGTAGGCTACGTATACAAAGCTAACTTCTACCTCTTTTTATCATCTCTCTCTGCCCACTGCTCCCAGAGAGAATTCAAAGTTCTGGACAAGAGCCTACACTTTTGGTAATGAGTCTCATTGTTCCATTCCATTCTAGTACACTGGGAACAAACTGACTTCTGCCAAAAAAAGGAAGGTGAATATTTCCTAGTATGTACCTGTGAGAATGTGCACTCTCATGAGCTCTGTGTTTGGGCCTTTGAGATGCTTCTGGTCACACTGTCCCTCTCTCCCATGACCTGCTTTCTTCTGCTCCTGTCCAGTGCTTAGAGAAGCAGTAGAGTGGTGCATGAACTGTAGATTACCCAGAAATGGCCTTGGTTACTCACAAATATTTGTGTATTTTTTAAGAACGCTTACTCATATCTTTGACCATATATTGAAAGAAAATATATTCTCCCTGAAAATAAAAATTTGTAAACATTTGGGGATGTGCTCACATAAACAAATACTAAGTACCTACCTGGCCACTTCATTTCTCTGTAACAGATTTGGGGACCCACCAAGAAAGCCCCTCATTTGCCCCCAAATCTCTCTCTACTGGATAGTAGATAAACTTGAAAAACCACTTTTTGAGATGAATTTGGTAATGTTAAGGTGTACTTTGTTGTTAAAATGCAAATATTTTCAGACATAGATTCAGTGAGCTATTTATATTTAATGTGAATAAGTTCATCAACTTTATTTTTTAATTACATTTGCTATATGCCTAATACGTATAAGTAGGAAAAGTCTTCGGCAGTGGTTGATAGCCAGCTGCATCTGAGGTAATACATCCTGGGCAAGTGTCTTCATATAGAGGGATGGTAAAGAGCAAGATACAGGGAACATGAGTCAGGCCCTTGGGCACACAGTGGTTCTGGATTTATTGCAAGAGGTACGGGGAATAAAGTTACTCTGACAATGATATAGGTGTGTGGAAGAGGAGGAAGTTCATTACTCGAGATAAAGAATGCAGACATCACAATCTTCTGCATAATCAGAGTACAAGCAATACTGTGGGGCAGAAAGGCAGCACCTATATGCTGATAGCACCCCCAGTGGGGAGGAGGACTTACACCCGAGTCACAGCACTGACTCTGAGCCCTGACCAGTATCTCTCTTTCCTACACCCACTTAAGATCAGAAAACAAAAAAACAAAACAAACAAAAACAAAACCAAAAACAAAAAAAACAAACCCAGTCTGTCCTTGAGGATGAAGGCCATTTCTTGACAGTGGGAGAGTGAGGATTTGAGTATAAAAGTGCTGTATGAGAGAGAGCTGAAGATTACAGAGGGATTTGCCTTCCTTATTCCATTTTAATTTCAACTTTCCTTTCTTACACAAGTGTGGCATACATTGGCTATATTCATATCATACATTCATACATTCACTATATTCATATCCTTTTCTTCCTTTGCGTACTGATAAACTACATTTCCTACCCTGCTTTGCAATTGAGTTCTAGCCAATCAGGGTATAAATGGAAATGATACAGATTACTTCCTGGTCTCACTCATTAAATTCTCCCTGACATACTCTTCCATGTTATTTTCCTTTCTCTGGCTTTAGACAAAATATCACAGCTTACTATATGTTGTTGAGAATAGAGGAACTCTAGGTTGGAAGGAACAGGTTTCCTGGACTACTCCTTCTAGGAAACCTATACTTTTGTTCAGGAACCCTCATTTTGGACTATAAATAAACAAGGAATAAGCTATTTTTCTTGAGCTATGGAAATTTTCACATGTGTTTGCTATTGTGGCTAGAATACCCAAGGTAATGCAAAACTAACACATAGTCATAGAAAAAATTTAGAAAAATTCATAAGCAAAATGAGAGAAAAATAAGTGCCTGTAGTTCCAAACTTGATGATAACCACTGCAAAACCCCAGCTTTATGAAAGCAGGGCTGTGAAGTGGAAAAAAAAAATGACGAAACTGAGAAACCAGGATTCCAGTCCCAATGTCCACCTAATGAGTAGAACTTTGGCTTCTCTATTAATGAAAGGAAAGAACTGTGGCATCTGTATTCTTTACGTTGAGAGAGAGAGAGAGAGAGTATGGATGGGGAGGAGGTGGGAGGGAAACACTTGGGGGGTTTGTATAGGGAATGATTTTGTCACCCCACAATTTTTCCTTTTTAGCTAGTGGTCAAAACACCCAGAAAACTTCAAAGAGCTGGAATGGTCAAGGAGAGGAAGTATAAAGGGAAGCAAGAGTATGACATTGTGATACAGCGGACTAGGGAGGAGAAATCTCTGGTACTCTCTGTGGTTCTTGTCTTGACCTGGGGAATTGTTGAGCTGCTCTGAGGGGAATTGGCTCTCAGTACAGCAAAGCCCATTTCTCCACTGAGTATCTACCATCATCAAAGAGCTGGTGTGTTTTTCTGAGTAGCTCAATTCTACCTAGAATGGACTGCAGGTGTCAGAAAAGACGGGTCACTAGTAGTGTTATCTCCAGTACCTCAGTGCTGTGGGTCTAATAGACATAGTAGATGCTGAGGGACAAGCAGATACCACTTATCTCCTGACCACCACATTTTTTTTTTTTGATTTGATGTGGAAAAGTAAATTGGGCTATTTTTATTTTTTTATTTTTTAAATATGAAATTTATTGTCAAATTGGTTTCCATACAACACCCAGTGCTCATTCCAACAGGTGCCCTCCTCAATACCCATTACCCACCCTCCCCTCCCTCCCACCCCCCATCAGCCCTCAGTTTGTTCTCAGTTTTTAAGAGTCTCTTATGTTTTGGCTCCCTCCCTCTCTAACCTCTTTTTTTTTTTTTCCTTCCCCTCCCCCATGGTCTTCTGTTAAGTTTCTCAGGATCCACATAAGAGTGAAAACTTATGGTATCTGTCTTTCTCTGTATGACTTATTTCACTTAGCATAACACTCTCCAGTTCCATCCACGTTACTACAAAAGGCCATATTTCATTCTTTCTCATTGCCAATGTTTATAGCAGCACTTTCAACAATAGCCAAATTATGGAAAGAGCCTAAATGTCCATCAACTGACCACCACATTTATCTTCAGCTTTGGCCATTCCTGGCAGCTGTGAGGCAGTGATCAGAGGAAATGAGAAAATAACAGTACTGACCCAAGAGCAATGCAAGGTTGAAAGTGGCACGTATGGGGACAAAGCAGCCCCACTTCAGGTTCCGTCAGGTCGCCACCTTGACCAGGCACCAGCACTACATTTTGTTCATTAAAACACGAACATCCTGATTTCAGACTCTGAAGATGGGAATCACCTATCCCAAACCAGGTGGTACACTGCCCACGAGTAGCTGAGAAGGAAGCCAAAGTTGGTGAATAATTAGCAGAACTGGCAGACAGCTCCAGAGTCTGTGGACAGTGAGTACCTGGACAGCTGTTTCATGAGGGGAACTTTGCTTGATCACAGGAGCCCATGGAGGTCCTTCATGTCCTGGCTGTTCCACACTGAGACTCCCCTCAGACCTGACTTCCTCCCACCACCCCCATTCTCAAGGGGCCTCAGGCACAGCCACTGCCACTTGTCTGGTACAAAATGCCGGAGTGAGCAAGAATGTCCTCAGGAAGTGAGTGAACATGAATTTACTAAATGTTGTGAGATAATCTTGTTCTCACAAAGCTTCCAATATAATTAAATGTGTAGTACACACAGATACACACGTACATAGAAAATATACAAATATACATTACAGAATTGTGTAGAATTAGTAAATGTCATGCTGAGTGGTGTGAAGAGGGCATTTCAGATTTCAATGACAGGAGTTGTTCGTGAGGGAGGTTCAAGTTTAATCAGAATTATCCTTAGATATGTCCTAGAAAACTGCCAGTAACTCAGGGAAGGTTTTAGTGCCATGCTTTCAAAAGCCTTTATACCAACTTTTAAAGAATCCTTCATTTCTTATCATTGCAGGGCAGATAGGACTAAGAAACCAGGATAAATGTGTTCTAGAATGGCAGGGTCAATCAAGTGCTTGCACCATCAGTCTCTAATGCTAAGTCAAGGGCACTTATGGGAGAAGGAGTAGGACTGGGATGGGATGGGAAAAGAGGTGAGGCTGAGAACTTTGACCTCCCCAGTTCCTTAGGATCTGACTTTCTGATGGAGGAAACCTCTCTTCCTACCTGAGAGAAAAAGGCTTCCTCTGCATGACCACCTTTCAATGACTGTACCGGGGAGAGTCCTGTCCAAGGGGATGCCAGTCTCTGTAGGACCCACTCACATCACTCTTAATGCATCCATGTCCGTAACAAGACTAGCTCTCAACAGAGCCCAGACGTGTATGTACAGGACCTAGTCTGAAGTGGGAGAGGAAACCAATACACCAAAAGAATTACAAGGCCCCACAAATCAGTTTTGGCAAGAGTGTGGGGAGCATGGATATTTGACCACGTGAAGTGAAATTGGATTGCTGATTGAGACACAGTTATCAATATGAGTTTACTTTCCTGCGGTTCTAGGTTTAATATGCAGCTTAAGCATCTGGGAATGATGTAAAAAGTCAACTAGGTTGGCCAATTGAAACCTGGACTTCATGGTGGCTTACAGTCAGTAAAGTTGACATACTGGAATTTCCCTGGCAGACTCTAAAGAAACATTGCCAAATGGAACTTTCTTCAAAGATGGGAATTTTCTATAATCTGTGCTGTCTGATATGATAACTCCTAGCCAGCTATGGCTATTGAGAACTTGAAATGTGGCCAGTGCAACTAGGGAACTGAATTTTTAGTTTTAGTGATTTAAATTTAGCCACATGTGGATAGTAGCCATTGTATTCAATGATGCAGTTCTAATATAGGGAGTCTGAAGGCTCAGGGAAATGGCAAGGACACTTCATTTTTTATCTAAATTCACTCTGGCTGCATCCCACAGGTTTTGATATATGGAGTGGTCTCATCACCACTTGCTTTTCAATAATTTTTACATGTCTTTTTATTTTCTACTTAACCCAAAAGTTATCTAGGAAAACATCTTTTAATTTGCACATCCTTTTTAAATTATCTTTTTTATGTTGATGTTATTTTTGCTTTTTACAAATATGTTGTTCTTCATAAATATTCCATGAGAAGTATTTGAATATTCTACATTCCTATTAATTTTTATGTGTTATTTATGTGGTTTTTATGAGGACTACTGAGACGGGTGTATTATGTTTTTTTTTTTTTTTTTTTACTATGACTCTGGATTTGTTCATTCTCTTTTTACTTCTTTTTAAAATTCTCTTTGGGGCGCCTGAGTGGCGCAGTCGGTTAAGCGTCCGACTTCAGCCAGGTCACGATCTCGCGGTCCGTGAGTTCGAGCCCCGCGTGGGGCTCTGGGCTGATGGCTCAGAGCCTGGAGCCTGCTTCCGATTCTGTGTCTCCTTCTCTCTCTGCCCCTCCCCCCTTCATGCTCTGTCTCTCTCTGTCTCAAAAATAAATAAACGTTAAAAAAAAAAATAAATAAAATTCTCTTTATTTTTTCAGTTTTTATTTTATGCACATAGCTGCCTAATGTTAATATGTTAAATTCATAATTGTCATATCTTTTTGGTGAAGTGAATATAAGGGAAGAAAACAAGGGTGTCTGGGTGGCTCAGTCGGTTAAGCATCTGACTTTGGCTCAGGTCATGATCTCACAGTTTGTGAGTTCAAGCCCCACATTGGGCTGTCTGCTGTCAGCACAAAGCCTGCTTCAGATCCTCTGTCTCCCTCTCTCTCTGCCCCTCCCCTGCTCTCCCTCTCTCTCCAAAAGATAAATAAACATTACCAAAAAAAAAAAAAAAAAGATAAAACTCTAAAAAAAAAAATCATATTTTTCCCTTTTAATTATTATGGTTCTCATCTTTAGTTTTCTTTTGTTTGATATTAGCTTTTTAATATCTTATTTTCTTTTATTATTTTTATAGTATACTTACATGTGTATGTTTTCAATCCTCTGGTGTCTGTTGTGTAAGCATGTCTTGTACTTACCTTAACTTCGTATTTTAACCTGTTCTGAAAATCTGTGTTACTTTGACAGGGCAATTTTTTTTTTCAATGTTTTTTTATTTATTTTGGGGACAGAGAGAGACAGAGCATGAACGGGGGAGGGGCAGAGAGAGAGGGAGACACAGAATTGGAAACAGGCTCCAGGCTCTGAGCCATCAGCCCAGAGCCCGACGCGGGGCTCGAACTCACAGACCGCGAGATCGTGACCTGGCTGAAGTCGGACGCTTAACCGACTGCGCCACCCAGGCGCCCCTGACAGGGCACTTTAAGATACTTATTCTTATTGTGATCATTGATATATTTGGACTTCTTTTTAACCTTTTATTTTATGGTTCTGTGTTCCTTTTTTGGTCCTGACCCCAGTTCCTCCTTTGAAAATATTTCCATAGGAATGAGTAACTTATGTTTCCCAGAATTAAAATTTCCACTGAAATAAATATATGTCTCTTGGAACTGAAGGTTATGGGACTTGAGACTGGTGACACATTACTGTGTTTCTATGCTCTCCACATTTATACCCCTTCAGCTCCGGGTTTGTAAAACTTCACAAATAG